GGACACAAACTTCTTTTTTTCTAGGGATTCAGAGGCGGCGTTAGGCAGCCAAAGTGCGACCATGGGAGGCTCGTTTTGGACCAGAATTAGCTCCTGGGCTGTCCAACAAAGCCCCCGCAAACAGCTGCCAGTCTATTAGCACAGCCAGAACAGAGGCATTGCTACTTCGTTTTCTTCTTTTTCTTCTTCTTCTTCTTCTTCTTCTGCCTCTTCTTCTTCTTCTTCTTCTGCTTGCCATTCTCCAGCCACGCAGATAGACCTGCGGCCGTCCACAGGAAGTGCTACGGTCAGCACCAGGGCTGCCGCAGCACAAGCCTTGCTGGCTCAGCACCTGGGCTGTCCAACAAAGCCCCCGCAAACAGCCGCCAGTCTATTAGCACAGCCAGAACAGAGGCATTCCTACTATGCTTCTTGCTGCCTGTTGCTAGTGGTTTTTCTGATCTTGTGATGCTTCTGGGTCTTCTTCTTACTACTGCTGCTGTGATTGCTGTTGTTGGTGTATATCCCGGGGTCGGCGGCAGGGGCGGCAGCCCTTAAATATGTCAAAGCAGCTGGGATGCTGCCAAACAAGTTGCTAGCCCAAATTGTTTCAACTTCAGGTCATTTTGCAATATTGTTCTGATACCCCATGACCAACGATTCTTGCTGCAGGTTTGGTCGCCCGGGCCGAGATCGAAAGAAACATGGGAGACCTTTGAGTGTGATTCTAGAAGAAAGACGGGCTGCAAGTGAGGGTGACTTTCCAGCAGCTTATTGTTAAGTTGTGGTGTTTGAATAATGAAGAGGACAACACCTTGGTCTGACATACTTTTTGCATCTTTTTGCACTCCATTGATTTTCAAAACTGGCAGGAGCATGTTGGCCTAGATCAGGTGATGGGGAGGGTGGTTCAGACACTGGCTCCATCAACGATGAAGTCAAGATAGCAGAGGAGACATTGGAGTCAGACCAGGAATTACGACTCCATCTTTTAGGTCACCAATCTCTCTACACAGAGTGGCTAGACGTGTCACTGATGTTGATTTACTTATGGTCAAGGTTTGGTGAAACCTGAACTCATGTTTTCTTCCCAAATCTGTGCCCTTTGTAAGGACAATTGAGACCAACTTCTCAAGTCCAGACCGTATCAAACTCCTTCCAGTGAGATGGCTGAGCCCTGGTAACATAAAAATGCTATGGTACCAAATGGGCGAAACGAACCAGATATCGTTCTGTGGTTGCACTGAGTTTTGTGAGTTTGTGACAAACTGTGACATGAATGGGTCAATGATTTGAAGTTAAGCTTCCATCCAGGTACCAGACATTCTGGAGGACCTACCAGGAGTGCGGCTGGGCGCACGTGCTCAAATTTTTACCACCGTCAACCCATGGATGCTGCGAAAGCTGCAGCAACTTCAAGGACATGTTCCGGTCGGCCAAGGTGACTGGGCTGGTCTTCAATGCAAATTCAATTTTGACAATTGTTAGGTCACACTTGGGTTTGGATGTACATAGTGCTTGGCGTAGCACGGAGAACTACATTCAACTGCCAAGGACATGCAGTCCAGGTATGACGTGGGGAAGCAGTTCAAAATGCATATAGACCTGGTAGGTCGTGACAGGGCACTGGAAGAAAGCCTCCAGGCCAGTTTCAAGTACGCTAACATCATTGGTTTGTGGATGAGTCACCGTTGGAATGCAGTGCATTGGGTTGTGGATGAGTTTGCCACATGCAGGTGATGTCACCGTTGGATTGCAGTGATGGCAGTGCTCCAATGGTGATTTTCTGGGAGCTTTGGTTGCAAAACACAGCTGATGTTTTGTATTCAACGTTCAATTTCATGACATACCTATTTGCACAGGGTTACTCTTAGGATGGAATGGATCAGGCTAAATGGAGCGTGCCCAGAGCCCGTGGTTTAAGCAAGGGGGCAATGATGCTCACCAAACCCCGCTTCAAGCTGCACGGTGTATGGATACAGAACGTATCCCTAGACATGTGGGTCCTAGACCCACGAAGCAGCGCTGATTCAAGCAGTGTCTTGGAATGCGCCTGTCGCTCAATACAGCGTGCCATAGAAGAATGCTTGAAAAGGGGCATCAAACCACCTACACAGTTGATCGTGTGGGTTGCTTGGTGCGCACAAAAGGTGTCTTGTTGGACTAACCCACAAAAGGTGTCTTGTTGGACTAACCTCAACGAACCTCCGGGTGGATCTGCCATCAAAAGAACTTTTTTTCCCTCATTGCACGGCTCCAGTGCGTGGCTCTTCTGCATGAAACAGTAAGGCGGACAATACCGTCCGAGAGACCAAAAACAATGTCGTGCTCAAGTTTCTCTCATGGTTGGTATGCTCCAATCGCTTTTCACTGACCGCCTTACTCTTCAGCTCCGTGGGGCACACTCACGGCCCCCTAGGTTCATCACTTAGTCTGATGTGGATCTGGAACACGCATGATGCGTTGAATGTTTGTTTTGAACTACTTCTCCAGTGACTAAGATCAAATCTTTGGGCTGCTCGCAACGGCCATGAGATACTGTGATGTATTGGCTGATGCTGCTGATGTGACCCTGAACATGGGTGGAATTAGGCATAATTGTGTGCAAGCCAACCTGTCGGACAATGTCATGCGGGATTTGGGGAAATTGTGACGGTTGACTCATAGCCAAGGAAGGTTGAAGCCCTATTACATCGCATTGGGCTCAGAAGCTGGATCGGAGAAAAAGCTGTCATCAGGGCAGAATATGTTTCAGGGGTTCGAGACTTCAAGCAGTGGCCTTTCGTCTGAACAAAGTTCAAAAATCATCAAAAATCAATGATATCAGTGTCACACTCACTCATCCATTAGTCTGTGAACATTGTGGAAATGCCAGCTTCTTGAACCCAACGCTCCATCCCAGGTTGAGCTCGGTGCCCGTGACATTCAGTGGCGGACTCAAGGATGATGAGACCGGATGGCACGCCTTCATCATGATTCAGCGGAAAGGCTCTTTCAAGGGTCAAAGGGGTCAGGTGGACTAAACCATCATCATGGTGGGGGATTTACAGTAGGAAGCTGTTTGTCCCCTGAAGGCTTGCCCAGAAATATCACAGTGGTTTCTTCTGGTCGGGGGGCAGCTCTACCAGATCATTGTGAAGATGTGGTCATGATGGTGAAACGACGGGCAGCCGAGGATCACTTGGGCCAGGACATGTTTCTGTTGAACTTGATCAACAATAGCCATAGAACCACCAACATATGGAAGGACAGGTGTCTGCAAGTAAGTTTGAATTGAATGTGTGTTTGCAGGAACCCCTACTGGCTTTTCCACACCGGTACCTCCAAATGATGGGTCCGATTCCGTCAGAGCCACGGCCTTTGGTGAGTGTCTTGCCGAGCAAAAAAGAAGCATATTTGAAATTGGCATCGATTCTACTTGCCCAAAGGGTTACGACACGATCCACTGAACGATCAGTCAAGTTTTTGGTGAGCCTGTGTACAGATATGACGCCACAACCCGTGGCTGATCTTCCATGGTTTCAGGGGGGGTCCATTTCTGTGGACATTGATGTCATGGCGCCATCAAGTCTTGCGCGGCTTTGTCCGGTGATGAAGTTTGTAGGCAAGCTGAATCGCTAGGCTAGCTAGGGAACACTCAGAAACACATTCCTGGGGAAAAGATGTGAAAAAGGTTGGTGGGTGAATCTAAACTGTCATGTTTCGATGGAAGCAGCAGGCAGCACTATGACATACCATCAAACATTCTGGTTGAAGCCGTTTTGGCTTTTAGAAGACTGCCCGCTTTTGACAATACCCAGGCCAGTCCTGGACACACTGTTTCCCCAACAAACACAGATCACTACAAACTAGGGCCCCAAATCTTGCTGAGGCAGGCTGCAATCCTGGAGATGGTTCAGGTTGGAGGAGTGACACTCAACAAGTGGCCTCCCATTCCCCTGGCCTGCCAGGAGACCTCCACCGAGCAGGAGACCACCTTCATTGTTCCTGATGATCAGCCATCTCAGGACACGTCGATGGCTCGAATCTACTTCAAACAAAGGGCAGTGGCAAACCCTTGAAACATCTTGAAACATGTCGGCCAAGATATTGAGTGAGTCTTTATTCAGGACCATGTGGAGGTGACCGAGGAGTACGATGCAGATGATGATGCAGATTCACAGGCCTCAGTTGATTGGCCATGGTCCATGGTTTAATGCTAAAAAACTGATTATTGTTATAATGTTCCGATGGTGTGACGGTGTGACTGTGGAACCATGACTTCATCGCAGCTCGCAGGTCACCTGGGAGCTAATCCAAATGCGAAAGGCGGGCAGCCTCCATTCCCGAAAGAAATCCGTTAACAGTATGGTCTTTCACTGCTGAATAAGGGCATCGAAAGTTCAGTGTGTAGGGACACCCTGTCTTACGGTTGTGTTAGGCAGCCAAGCGCCTTTGGGATGAAGTGTACTGTGAGGAGGCACCCTCCGTTCTTGTTGTCAGTCCACATTCCACATTGAGTTGGCACCGGCAGGCCTACCAAAAGCGGCAGCGGCGTGTTGCACCTCACCTTGGGGAGGAAACACAATGAATTCACGACAGGTGGAACAGCTTTAGAACTTAATTAGACAGTCTCTGAGTTTGTTCTTGGAACGGTCGCAATTCAGAGCACTTGTTTACGCTGGAAAATGGTGGTGTAACCGTCCGAGTCCTCCTTCGATATGCAAGTTTACAGGACAGAAACATGTCAATGTGTGATGTGTGTTCAGCCTGATTCTGCCTGACCTCGTGCTTTCAAGGCTCTGAGTCGAGTGTTTAGGTCAGAGCTGAAAATGCCCAAGAAAGTCATTGGGCTCCGTGCGGCTGTGGCCTTGGCCATAAACAGTGACTCCAATCCTGCAAGCAGCAAACCAGTACAGAAGACTGCTCGAACTGATAGGCCAGGCCATTTGTTCTGACCCTCTCCCATTCTCTGTGGACTTCTTGGGGAGGCAGAAGGGAAAGCCTGTGATCAAAACGGTGAAGAAACAGAAAGAGCTAGGGACCAAGAGGCACCTTTATTTGATTTAACCAGTCAGTGTTCTTCTTTTGGTCCCGAGACTTAGGCGTCGCTACCCGAAGACGTCAATACCAGCTGCGCCGGAGGGCGCGCCCTGTCACTTTCCCTCACTATCGTCGTGCTTCTTGTGGGCTGAAAAGTTCATTGATAGACTGGCCTTACTTTTTGGAGCCAAATGGGTGTGTCAGCAGCTACTGACTTGGAGATGGGATCTGAGCACATGCTTTAGCGGCATTGGATGCGCAGAAACAGCCATGACCTCAAGCTAAAATTTGGACATTCAATAGTAGACAGTTTAACTGGGACTGCGATGTGTTTGTGACTGTATGTTTTCATAATGTGTTCGCTCAGGCAGCCATCAGCCTAGCTGCTGCCGCCAAGAGGTTTTTGAAGAAGAATGCTACTATGCCAACTGCTATCAAGCATCTATCAGTCAAATCATGCTGCGAGATTGACAAGTCATGCCAAGACGTGTTGAAAGCTACGTACGCGTCGCACGACCCGTGCATCTTTACAGATGTGACAAAGATTGGTGGCAGGGAAAGCTATTGCGTAGCTCACGGGGAATGTTGTCCAACACGGCCTTATCGAGATTCCGACCGCCCCTTCCTTAGACCTCATTGCCTTGGGTTTTCCTCACGCCCTTCGGCCTCAGGCATCGGTGTGAACGTTTCTGGTGGTGACCTCAGATTCAGGTTTCAGGCAAGACACAACCTCTCTCAAGCACTCACTGGGAAGTTCAAAGGTATCAAACTGTGTTGCAATTTCACAGCTTCTTTTGACAATACTGCTTCAAGTTGGCCCGGCCCGGTGTACTTTTTTCAGAATGATACCTAATCACTCGCTAAGGGCCCATCTGCATTGACTACTCTATGATGGGCTTTCGTCGAAAGGAGTTGGGGCCGTCGGCAGCTGTGCATGAAGCACACTACAAGAATCAGAGTGCGAGTGACAACTGGATATTGGTGATTGAAAACGTACCAGAGTATGAGGAACGAGTGGTCCGCACGTCTTTGAAACCGGCAAACCTTTGGAGCATCACTCATGTGAAGCTTGACCCCCGCCTGCTAGGGCTCGGCACAGCCCGAGCGAGGGTTTTCTACGTGTGCTGGAGAAAGGACAAACTTCAGTGGAATGCACCCTTCGGGAGCTTGATGTCTTTCGTTGAATGCCTCCGTGCAAGGGTAACTTTGAGTGCCATGGACTACCTGTACATGCAGCTTCCAAAGTCCGTGCTGACCCCGTCCCAGGACACTCGAAACAAATGTTCTTCAAACCAAATCTGACTCCCTTCCAAGGTATTTCAGAAACACACCAGTTTTTCCAGAAATGAGTGTGACCACTTTAAGAGGAGAAGATCTTGAAGGACTACGAGGCGGAAGCGAGATCCAGAAAGGTCCCTGACCTTAATCAGTATCCTGCAAACGGCCGTGGCCGTGGCGAGACCATCGACGGGGCACTCCCCACATTGACAACGAACAGTGGAAAGCTGTTTTCCAAGGCTAGGTGGTTGGAAATGAATGACATGGCTCAAGATTCTTGGAATTCGCAATCCAATGTTCACTCCCCATGTTCACTTCCCCCTTTGCTAGGAGCTCGGCCGCTTCATGCACCCAGTGGAGTTGCTCACGAGCCACATTTTGCCCTGCACCGACGAGCAGGCCAAAAAGAGCAGGTCACCAAAGTTGATTCTGAGCAGTGCTTCGCATACAGCCACCACATCAATGGCCGGTAATGCAATGAATGTTCCCAGTGTTGGCTGCGTATTGCTGGCGTGTGTGTTGGCCCTGAAGCCACTGCCACAGCGCTGACCAGTTTTTTCGGTTTGCTTGACAATTAATTGTGAAATTAGAGTTTCAGCAATGCATAGCAACAGGAAGCACAAGAGTCAAAAGGATTGCTTCTCTAGGTTCTATGCAATTGATCTTCAAGTGAAAGTTGATTCCTCGTTCTATCACTCCTAAAGTTGCCCCCATTTCTTACAGGAGGCTCAAGCCTGCAGGCACGGTGTGATCAATCATGAAGCGAAAAGGACCTCGGGACGGGGCCAGCCGGGCATTGAAGGGTGCCAAGCCTGATCACCCATGGGCAGAGGTGATACTAGATGCAATCGGGCCACTCAGTCCTCTAAAGCCAATGCCAAAACACATCGTCTGAAGTCGAATGCTTCCTAAAAGCTAACGATTCTTTTGAGTTTTGTGATGGTAGTGTTTTGGTGCCACTTGGTTAAGGTCATTCGATGTTGAGAAAGATGAGCACCCAGTGAAGTTCATACTATCTAACATGACCGAAGCCTTGATGCCAGCCATCCAGACTTGGATGCAAGAGTTCTGTGATCACAAGATTCCTGAACCTGAAAGTGTCTCTCTCCCGGATCCTTGTTTTGGCTAACTCCAACCCGTTTTTGAGAAGAGGTCAATTTCCTTTATGAGTCTATTAGTTGACCAAAACCCAGAAATTCCTTCAACCTTGACACACTAGGAACAAGATGACCAGCTTCTCACCGTGCCACTACTTTGCCTGAAGTACAAGAGGCCAAGTGAGGGGCTACCCCCTCTCCAGGCATGGGTCGGAGTGGCCCGTGATGTGTTTCACTCCGGGTATGAGAACTGGAGAGAGCCCTTCGAAGTCAAGCTGAGCAAAGAGCTCGTCGACGCCAAGTTGAGCTACTCAAGCCTGCAGGTCACGAAGGGTGTTGGCAGAACATCCATCTTGTTCTTTGGCGTTTTGTGGACGTTCTTGAGGCTCAAGGATAAGCTCTCAACGGAGCAGCAATCAGATTTCAAGAGGCTGGACTACGGACAACACGTAAACCCCTAAAGGCACACCCCGGAGACCTCCCCAACCGCAAAGTAGACAGTCTGGGTCGCCCTTTTGGTGAAATCTCAGGGGCCCGACAAAGGGTGATGGTTTGGTCGAAACCATCGCCCCTGGGATATTTTGCAAACTAGCTGAAGATGGCTAGACTATAGTCTTGCAGGCTGAACAGATATAGAATTTATATCTGGGCATAGCTCGGAACTCTTGGGCCATGGTAGTAAGGGATCCCGCAAAATATCCAAAGGGTGATGGTTTACACGAAACCGTCGCCCTTTAGCCAAACATCGAAAATCTTCAAAAAGGGTGACGCAGAAGGTCTCAGACATGGTGAGGCAAGGATATCTGATAGATATTTTGGGGGTGCCTGGGGGTGATGGTTTGGACCAAACCGTCGCCCTTTGGATATTTTGGGGGACACTTTGGGAATCTGAGGGAATATTTTGGAGCAGTTTTTGGGGCTGTGGGTGATAACTAACCCTGAGCACACTTGACCTGTCAGGTGGATTCAAACCGTCCAAACCGTCAACTGTACTATCCTTGAGGAGGTGTGTGAGATCAACTATGAATGGCGGCGTATCCAAACACACGAGCAGCAAACAGAGAGGCAAAAGAAGACGTTGCTGCAAAAGGCCCTCATTTTTGCATCCCGGGCAAAAGAGCTACTGGAGGCTTGGTTGACCAACATCATATGAACACACGTTCTAAATTCCTCCTGACTTCCGGAGCCCGGTGCAGCTGTTGACAGGATGAAACGAATTATGACATTGATGATCCAACTTCCTACCGGAGAGCGTTCTTGGATGCTGTGACGGAATACAACCAGTATGGGGTGGCAGCCAACAATGCCAAATACAGGATCGATGAATCAACAGCTGGTCAGTTGTTTGGATTCAAAGCCCCTTGAATAATAACTCTCCAGCACACTTGTCGGGCCTTCTGATTCTCGATCCAGGAGGTTGCTTTCCGATCTTTGCTCAGCCTGGCTAAGGTAGGTGTTTGTGACGAAGCATGGCAAATGATCGAGCGGCACCTGCACAATTTCCGATTCGAGTTGTCAGGCCAGTGTTCCAGTATGTTCCAGTTTTTTTAATCTACTAGTTTATGATCAACAACTATCAGTTGACAAGGTCAGATCAACCGAGAAAGCACAAAGCACATAATGGTGGAGCAAATATGAACCAAATTGGTAGCATGCTTTTGCAGTGTTTGTATACTTTGTTGCCCTGGCAGCTTTCCACCGGGATACTCTACTGGAGACGCGGTGGCTATTGGAGAGCGCACCCAGAGTCTCTTGCCATGCATGGCGGCAAATCCTCACGGTGACTCCACGGAAACAAGTGATGTTCGTCAGCAGACTACTCTACCTTCACAACATCCAGTCCAGGAGGGGTGGCAAGGGCAAATTGCCGTCTGGAGAATGGAACGCTGAGTTGGATAGGCAGTGCCTATTTGGCCATGCCTTTGATGCAATGGCTGCAGCGACGGCGGATGATGGGGGGCCATTGTTTCCTGCCGAGTTGCAAGACACACTGCTCCGGCGATCAATGGAGGGGCCAAACTGGCACGTTTGGTAGCTGTTTGGCTCCGGGTAACTAGGTAGTTCTGAAGGACCAAATCTTTAATCACTTCAAACTAATTTCAACAACTCTTTCACAACATAATCTCAAGAACGCCTTAAGAATGAATGAGCGCAAAGCCAGGGACTTCAACGACGAAGCCAATGAGGCCCTGTCCATCAAGGACCCATCGTTCCAACCATCTTACCTTCAGTTCTGGACCGAGAACCTGCCGTCCCCCACGGTTGATACAGCATTTGCTGCAGCCAATGCACAGATTGCTCAGCTGAACACGGATGCACGCAAGGCTGCTTGGGAGAAAGACAAGCTTCAACTGGCGAAGGACTGCGCATCACTAGCCCAGTTATGCCAGCAAGAAATGCAATCAGAGAGATCAAGGCGCCAGCAAAGGATATTGCACATCCGTGCGCAGAACACGATCGGTGCTTCCATCATCGAGAATTTCATGGAGAGAAATCTGGCCTTCATGCATGGACAAAGCCATGAAATTCTAGCAAGGGTTGAAAAGGTGGGGAGGTAAAACCAGGTCATAAACTTGTGAGAAAGCCTCTTGCTGTTGTACCAGTAGGGATGGGACCCTTTTATGACCCTGCCCTGCAGTTCGTGGATGAAGCTTCTCGGAGTTCTACAGCCTTGTTGGTCTGGTGTGACCTGACCAAACTTGGACGTGTCTCCAACAATGACCTCAACAACGCCATCGACTTGATTTCCAACGCGCTGACCAAGAACCCCACCAAAAGTGTCGCGTTTGTTTTGGCGCCACACTTGGTCTCAGAACGTGTGACGAATGGACTGAGGGGTGAGCGACGGAAGCATGGATTTACTAAATCATTTTCTTAGGGTTGAGAACACATCAATAACTTGTCAAAGACCGGACAATGTTTGCATAAGTCTTGAGTTTCCAAGGAGGATCGAAGACAAGGCTGACGCCCGCAGCCTGTGCAGCTCGCTCATCAGTGTCCGCATGGACCCACCTCCTGCAAGCAAACGTGTGCCAATGAATTTCTTCGGATGGCTAGTATTTCAGGAAGCAACCTTTGACCAGAACATTTTTTCAGAGTGTGCATTGATGGTGGACAGGATCAGGGGTGCCTAAAGTGGTAAATATGTTGAAAACAAAGCAAACCAGCAAAAGAACATGTTCCGGAGTTGGATGCCTTTAGTACCCATTCAGGAGCCCCAGAGAATCCATACCGTGGACCTCAGAATCCTCATACATTGTTCCAATGGCGGAAAGGGACAGCCTCCCTCACGCAGCTGATGCAAGGCGCTTGTCCAAATAGTGTTCAAAACAAGGCCATACAACACCATGGGTTTAAGCCTCCAAAGTTTTGTGTCAATTAGGATGATGTGCATGCTGGTCACTTGCAATCCTGCCCATGAGGTCTATGAGTGACGTTCAAGAAACAGCCCAACTCGTTGCAGGGAAGGCTTTTCCAACCAGTATCTTGACAGGAGTGATATCCCGCACCAAGCTTCCTTCCCAGAGTCTATGCATCCTGAACGTGACTCCATATGACGGATGGTTGGAGACGGTGGCTTTGGAGTGGCCCACTCAACACCCATCATTTCACATGAAAACCATGTCGGTGGGCAACAGCAAAATCTCCAATGTGGTGGATTTCTGCCAGAAAAGCATAGCAATGCGACTTCTTGAGGTGCATACGGGGCACTTGAAAAATCATTGCCCTAGTTGTTGGAGGTCAAATAGCTTCTCACACATCACCAATAAATGGATGAAGTCATATGGGGTCCTTCATGCCCAACTCTGTGACATCCCTGTAGGATTGGAAAAAGAAGAAGCACTTGATGGGCAACGTGCGTGAGTATGATCCAAATCCAATTATCAATGCGGAGGCTGTTGATTGGAAACAGTTTGACTTCAAGCATGTCCAGGTGACTGTATCCAAAGATCCTGGGAAGGTTGGATGGGAACGATTCGATGTTTCTCTTCCTCAGTCTGTTCGTCAGTTGTACGCATCCGACGTCGTCTTCGGACCAGAGTGGATTCAGCTTCTCAACGATTTCGACCACAGGCTTCCCAACTTAAATTGGCTCATCCTTTGTACCATGCATTTGATGCGCTTTGGTATGTCCAACCATCCTGCAATCTGGTTTGAACACAAAGTTTCTATTAGACTTCAGGTTTGGATGCAAATCGAGCCCGGCGGCCTTGGTGCCAGTTGAGCCCCCGCCTGAGGAGGCAGAGGAGGAGGAGTGTCCTCCAAAGTGGAATGAACCCACGACTGTGTCAGAATTGTTGGAGAAATACTTGGTAGAGGCAAAAATCAGTGGACGAGATCCAGGCACCACACTTTTCCTGGTGGGAGCCAGGCAG